TAACTTAAAATTTATAAAAATGTTTTACTATACTTACTTAAGTATTAGTAGTAGCTTAAAGAGCCCTAAAGTCTTATCTTAAAAGATATAGCTCTACTAATAAGCCTTATAAGTGCTAATGTAAGTCTTAATGTTCTAGCTTATGCTTAGCTAGTAGTACTACTTACGTAGCAGCTTAGTTATTTTCCTAGTTTTAGAATGTGTAGTAAGTTACATTGTGTAAACAGCGCAGATAAAGTAGGTCTTTAGAAACTAGACAGCTAGGACTATAAGCTTCTTTTTCTTTAGTAGTAGGCCCTTAGTGTTAATCTTTTATTATAAGCTAGAATTCTGCGCTTTATTATAGCAGTATTATAAGCTTTTATAATTTTAATTAGTATCTAGAATCTAATTAATAAGCTTATATAGTTAATTTATTAGTAGCAGCTCTATAAGCTTTTTATTTAGCAAAGAGGTGCTCTATAAGGCAGTGTGTAATTAAGTAATAAAACTAACACTAATCTACTTTTAGCTTAGAAAAGAGTGTGTATAAGTAGCCTTATTTTTTTTTTTTTACATTTTAAGCTTCTTTTACTTCTTTAACAGCGTGTCTGTAATAATGTTAGTAGTGCCTAGGCAGTAGGTTAGTGTAAGGTTAAAGTCTACTATTAGTATAGCTTATTATATTTAGTAAGGGGTAAGCTTATGCTTAACAGTAAAGTACTTAAGAGCTTAGTAGTTAGTAATTACTATAAACAGCTTATCTTATTATAGGCTTATTAGCTACACTTACTACTTTTATAGGCCTTAAATAACTATAAGCATTTTTTTATTATATATATTATAGTTTATCTATAGTAGGCTTATAGTCTTAGAGTAGAACGCTATAGGGCGCTAGATGCTGTTGTCCTGCAGCTGTAATAGTACTTCTGTAATAACTTTGTTGCTTATGTTAGTCTCTATACACATCTTATAATTTAGTAAGTAGTGTGTAAGAATGTTGTCTAATAGCATAAAGTTTTTAGCGCGCTTAAACACAGCTAACTTATACTCTTTTAAAAGATGCTAGGCGCTACACTTAAGCAGCTTTATAAGTAGCTATATAATGTAACTATAGTTCTTAAGGAAGGCGCAGTAGAAGTTGCAGAACCCTAGGAACAACTGTAGGCTCTTAATTAAGGTTAGTATAGGCTAGTCTTAGACAGCAGCTACCTTAGTAAGGTCTTTATAAATTCTATTTATACTAATAATAAAACCTAAAAATTTTATTTTAGTAACTATAAATTTACTTTTCTTAAAGTTAATCTATAGGCTAGTGTTTTATAGATAACATAAAACCTTAGTAATGTGTGCTTTATGCTATAAGAGGTTGTCTAAGTAGATTAAGATGTTATTAAGGTAAGCTATATAAAAGTTATTAAGTAAGCTATGTAAAACTTAATTAATATATTACTAAAAAGTTATAAGGCTGTTGTAGAGTCTAAAAGGCAGCACATAATACTTATAGTTGCTATAGTGTGTTTAAAAAGTAGTTAAGTTCTTAACCTTTTTAGTAAGCTAGATGTAATAGAACACCTATTATATATTAAGCTTAGTAAAGACCTTAGCTGTAGCTAGCTACATAAGCGTCTTTTAGATTAAAGGTATTAAGTAAGTGTTTTTTTTTATAATTATGTTAAGCTTATAATAGTTTACATAGAACTTTTACTTTTTTTCTAGCTTCTTAGTAAACAAGACTAGAGAAGCGTAGCTAGCGTTACTATGCATAATAAATCTGCGTTGCAGGTAGTTGTCTAGATAGTCCTTAACTAGCCTAAGCTGCTCTAGAGACATGCTGTATAGTAGGCTGCTTAATAGGGTGTTCTTTACTATTAGCTTAATATTATAGTTAACACTAGGTTAGTGTAGCAGCAGTTTGTCTAAGTCTTTTTTTAAAAAGTAGGCTAGCGTAGCTCTAGTGTACGCAGGGGATAGTAACTTTTTAAGCATTAGCTGTTAGAGCTTATTTTTAAGATTAACTATTATAGGTGCTTAATAGTTCTTAATTAGTTAATTAACCTTATAGATGTTAATATGTCTAATTATAACATCTCTGCGCCTTACGTGTAGCATAAATGCAGCAGTGTTAATTATGTTTACCTTTAGCCCTACCTTAGCAAGTGCTTTTTTAGAGACAGCTAGTTAACATTAGTGCGCTTAATTAGCGCTAGGGGGTATTAGTTAAGAATTAAGTTACTTTTTTATTTTTTTTAAGTTTTACTGCTAATTATGCTCCTAAGTTAATTAAAGTTAGTATTAATTAATTTTTAATATCTTTATAAACTTATCTTATTAGTTAGTGTTTACTTAATAAGATTAGTTAATCTATAAAGACGCGCTATATATAAAGATAATAATATTACACTTGCAGTCTTATATCTAATTATTGTCTAGCTACTAAATTAATTATTTCTTATAGTTAATTTAAACACTAGCTTTCTTAAAAACCTTACAGCTTATAATTAAGTTATAACAGCCTGTGTTATAAGGGATAAAGAGTGTAGGCAGCTAGTAGCTGTTAATTACTAGATTTATGTAGAAGTACTTATCTACCTGTCTATTTAGTTAATTATTATATCCTATAATAAGAATAGACTTAATGCTAAGCATCTTAGGCTGTAGGTGCTTCTAGATTATCTGCAGGTGTTGCAGGTAGATTAGATTATAGCTGCTAGCCCCTATGTTAATAAGACTATTTAAGCGTACAGTAATCTCTCTAGTAAAGACACAGCAGGGCAGTATAAAAGGCTTACTGCTAAATAGCAGCTTATGTAGCTTCTACGCTAGTGCTTTATTTATTAACTTTAGAGAGAAAACTTTCTTTAAAGTAAGTTTTCCTTTAATTTACTGTCTTTACTAGAGCTTATAGTGTCTAGCTTTTGCGCTACTTCTATAGCTTTACTCTTAGCGCAGGCGTAAAAGCAGTTACAACTTATATGTTCTAGCTAATAGCATAAGTAGTAAGTTACAGCATTCTTTATTAAAGCTGCCTACACTTAGAGTGTTACTAGAGTTATTAGAGCAGCAGCAGTAGTAGCAGGTTAAAGAACGTTCTAACGCGTAAGCTTCTCTTAACCTCTCTACGCACATTACGCGCTTAACTCTGCAGTAGACCTCTGCAGTAAGAAGAATATCTAGTAGGCTTACTTTATGTAATTAAAGAAGCTAACTGTTAGGTTGTTATAGTAAGTTTTTATATGTACTTAAAGCTAACTTAATAAAGTATTATAAATCTTATCTTTCTACTACTTAAGCAGCAGCTTAGCTTTATTTATAAAGCATATAAACTAGGCCTTAAAGTTTTTAAAATCTTAAAATAGCTTTATCTTAAGCTAGTAAAGCTTAGTTTTAGCTTTTATTTACTAGTTAGTATTTTTAAAGTTTTTTTTTAAAAAGCTTATAATATCTTTAGTTATTACTAGCTTACTTTACTACTTTTAAGCTTTAAAGTAAAGAACTAGTTAACCTAGCGCTTAACTACTTACTTTACTTTTAGTATAGTGTACTTAAGTGGTTTTTTTTTTATAGAGTTACTATCTGCAGGTATAAAGTAGTCTATGTTGTAAAGTAGCTTACTTATTAGAAGGTTTTTCTAGTAGTTAAATTTAATATTATCTTTACTTATAAACCTAGGCAGATCCTTTGCTTTAGCTAATAGTTTTAGCCTAGCTTCTTAGCTTATAGTACTAATATAAAAAAGGTTAGGTGTTTTTAGCATAGCTAGGTTAAATTGCAGTTGCTTTTTTAGTGTAGTTAGCATAAGTGTGCCCCTTAGCACTTAATAAGCTCTGTCTAAGAAAAATAATTAGTTATGCGCTAGTGTAGTAGTAGCTTTAAGTCTTTTAACTTTATTTTTATAATTAGCTAAGTGTTTAAGAGTTTTATTTAGCAAGCTTTAAAGCTTTTATAGCTTTTTACTAACTTTTACTTACTTAGCTTCTGCTATGTTAACTACTTTAGTAAGAGTATTAGTGTAGTCTTAATAAGCTTACACTTTTAATAACTACTATAGCAGCTTATTTACTATAACTATGTAATCTACAGCTATAAGGTTTAGTAGGTCTAGGTAGAGGCTAATTAAATTATAATTAGTAGTACCCTAGGTAATAGCCTTTGTCTAGAATAATAGTGCTTTCCTAGCCTACTAAGCGCGCACGCGCGCAGTTTTAATAGTGTAGTCTTCCTTAAACACATTATTAGTGTAGAACTAGGCCTAGCATAGCAGCGTCCTTAGTTTAGGCGTATAAGCGTTGCTAGTAGGCTAGGCAGTAAGATTAACGCGCATTTTAATTTTTAATAGCTTTCTTATTCTAGTGCTCTTAGCTTCTTCCCTCTACTCTAGGGTCTAGCAGTCCGCAGAGGTATAGTGTAGTGTGAGCCCCGGGTCTGGTGACAGTAGGGCTGATAGTTAATTAGTGGTGGGTTTGTACGTAGGTTTGTACAGAGCCTGCAGCTCTCTTCGCGTTGTTGCGGTGGTAGTTAGTACAGTAGGCCCCCCCCTACAGTTAATTTAAACTAGAGCAGCAGCACTTCTAGCTTAAAGCTCTTTAATAAAGTGTAATAATTTAATTATTACTTAGTGTTGCTTTTATAGTTGCCTAGCCTAACTAAGGCTTTAAAGCAGATAGCTATTATTAATAAACTAAAGCTTAGCCTAGTTATACTAGTAGATCTGTCTAAGTAAGAGTTAGTTAGCAAATTAAGCTCTTAAAGCTAACTACACAGTAGACCTAGATATTATGTTACTATTCTTTAGCTAAATAAAATAATTTTAGTGTAATGTAATAATAAGCACTATCTCTACTACTATATAAAGCTAGAGAAGTAAGGTAGAGTAAGTTAGCTCTATTTTAGCTACACTAAGATAGAGAGGAGAAAGGGAGCTTTAAGGGCAGCTCTGCAGAAGAAGTGCTTGCAGCGCTAAGGCGCTAGTAAGGACGCTAGCGCTAAGCAAACTAATAGCGTTGCGCTAGTCGCACCCCCTATATCCTGATTAGCTGCACGGGCAGCTCGTCATGTGAAGCGCGACAGAGCTCTCTGCGTAGGACCGTCACAAAGACAATGGGTCCGAATGCGGTATGAATCCACTCAGAGGCATATGGGAGTGCGTGGGGACTCAGAGACCTGGGAATACCAATGACAATGTAACGGCGCAGGCAAGACAATGGGTCCGAATGCGGTATGAATCCACTCAGAGGCATATGGGAGTGCGTGGGGACTCAGAGACCTGGGAATACCAATGACACCTATAGGCCTTGTACGTAGGATATCAGAAAACTACCGAGCTAGCTACAGGGGCGAGGTGCGACTAAATACATGAGGGAATAGGGGTAACAGCAGGGGTCGGGGCCAGGTCGAGGTCGGGGCCGATACGAGGGCCTTCCGGAGGTTCCGGGCGACTCGAGATGGAACGATTCATGAGGATCGTTACAGATTTCTCTCTAGGCTTGCAGCTGTAGCTAATATAGCTAATTCCTTACGCGCAGAGCGTAATCTAGGCTAGGTTAGCTTAAACTAGCCTAGTATGTAGGTTAATTACCACTTTAAGTTTATAATAAAGTTTAATTATAAGTATAATTATAAGAGAGTGCTTTATAAAGATCTAGAGGTTATTTAGAGCTAGTTTTGCCTAGTAGCTAATATAAAAGCTAAGTATAGTATCTAGGATAAAGACATGTATAACTTTAACAAGTTAGGTTTTATAATAAGCTAGATATTAACTAGAGCAGTTATTATAGCTTTAAAGAGACAAAGACAGCTAAAGGTAATATAGTAAAGTAATAAGAAGTAGATAATAGTTATCTAGGGCATTAACATAATAAAGTAAGCTATTTTACTTTTTATTATCTTTAAAGGCTGCTATTACTTCTTTACTTAGTATAAAGAGAAGAATCTACTTTAAAACTAGGTTATTGCAGTCTCTAAGAACAGCTAGATAATAAATAAGCTTAGGTTGCAGTCTCTAAGAACAGCTAGATAATAAATAAGCTTAGGCTGCAGTAGTTAAAGCACTTTAATAAGCATATAAAAAAAAGGGTTATAAGTGCTTATTAGCTTTTTATTATTAATAGCTATAAAAGCTATAACTTACTTAATTTTTAGTAGTACTATAAAAAGAATAACATTATTACTATCTATATGCCTCTACACTTATTACACTTTTTATAGCTTCTTAATATAAGTTGTTTTACCCTTTTAAAAAAAGTGTATAGGCGCTAAGCTAAAGATCTTATGTGTAACTAGATTACTTATATTATAAAACTTAAGTTTCTACTATGCTTTATACACACTTATAATGTAGTAATTACTTTTAGTAATATCTAAAAAGGGTTTTAAGCTGCTAGTTTAGTCTTATTTAACTTAAAATAAGTTAAAATAGCTTTTAACATCTAGTTATATACTTTATTACTACTACTACTTATTAATAATAAGCCCTAGTAGTTATAAACTTTAAGTAATACTTTTAAATTTAGGTTATAATTAATGCTTATAAAGGTAAAAATTTAAAGGCATATAAATAGCTTACTAACGTCTATAGTAAAGGCCTTTAAAAAAGTCTTAAAGAAGGCAGCAATTATTGCGTATAAGCTAGTGTTAGCGTAAAAAGAGATTATAAAGCTTTAAGTAGTAAATAAGGCTGCTATGTAACATAGATTGCATAAAAGAAAGTAGATTTAAGTAAAAAAAACCTTAATAGTTAAAGATAGAGCTTATTTAACTACTCTAAAGGAGTTTAAAGCGCGTAGTAATAAGAAGAAGCTAAAAACACAGGTGCGCGCTAAAAAAGGTAAGCTAAGTTAAAGGTAATATAAGTAGTGTAATTAAACTAGGCATAACTTATATACATATAAGAAAGTAGTAGAAGTAGACTTTAAATAATATCTTATATTGGATTGCTTTATACAGGGCTAAAGTAGGCTGTTTTGCGCTAGAATAGGGTGGTTTTAGTAGGGGCTTAGCAAAAGTAGCCGGCTAACCTGTGTGGCCGGCCAACCTGTTAGGTACGTTATAATAAAGTCTAACAAAGAAGAAAGCTTTAATAAAATAAGAATCTAAAATACAAAAGATTACTTAAAAGTAAGAATATTGCAAGCGTTAGTAAATTATTCTATTAATATTATATAATTACTTACAAGGCTAGATGTTCTAGAACAGGCTAGTATAGCCTCACCCGACCTGTTTAGAGGTCACATGACCTGTGCTTTGTATATAAGCATGAATCCTAACAAGCAAGTGTTACGGTCTATAGTTAGACCAACGTAACTCCACCCGAAGTACTCTATAATCTAGCTAAGTTGGGGCAGGGCTTGTTTACAAACTAATTAGAAGATGCAGAGGCAGCACAGCTGCCTATAGTGATAGAAGAGTGCATTATTTAATAAAAAGGTAGGCTGCAAGTTAAATAAGTTTAGTAAGTTAAGTAAGTCTACTATATAGTAAACTTAAGAAGCTTGCTTAACTTGTTCTTAGCACTGCTACCTACATATATAGTTTTAACTTTAAATAGCCTTTAAAAAGGTGTGTTTAACATTTAGTTTATTTTTTATATAAACTAAGTAGCATTTAGCTTTTTAATAAGCTATAATACTACTAATATATCTTATAACATATATACCTCTAATTCTGTCTAACAGGACTGTTTAACCTAGCCTTTATACTACTGCTATAGAGATAAACTATAATCTAGCTACTCTTCTAAGTCTCTATTAGCCTATTAGCTATTACATAGGACTGTACACCCTACTGTTAGCCCCTACCTCCTGTCTTACCTACTAGGAATAATTTTAGCCTAAGTGTTTCTTTAAAGCAAGAATTATAATATTAAACACTACACCTCTTAAAAAGTATAACTACTTAACATAACCTTAACACTAACATAGCCTATATAGCCCTGTTAGGATTAATAGGAGTTCTAATAGTTAGTAAAGGTGTCCTAGTAAAACAAATTAATATAATATAAAATAATATTAAAAAACTTTAGCAAATTAGTAATAAAGTTATTAAATTAATCTACTTTTAAAAAAAAGTAAAGTAATTATAATAAAAAGTAACTTAGACTAATAATCTACTACCTCTAATAACCTCTCTAACTACCCTAAACACTGCAGCCTAGATACACGCGCTGCATGTTAAACTAGCTAAGCTCTAGAACATATTAACTAAAAAAAGTAAGCATTATAGCTAAAAAAAAAAAAAAACTAAAAAAGAACTTTAAAACTAGCCTTTTTAAAGCCTTTTAAAAGATTGTCTAAGAACTTTTACCTCTTTTTTACTTAATGCTACCTTTATCTATAATATAATAAAGGACTATTTTAAACTAACGCAGAAATAATATCCTAGATAAGACTACACTTAGAAGAACTCTCTATAATCTAGTTCTAGCTATATGTAGATAATTAGATAGACTTTAGAGTAAACAGCACTATATTAACTTCTAAAACTAAAAAAATATTTAGTAGTATAAAAGCTTTTAAGAAAGCTCTAACTGCTATTTATAAAACTATAAATAAATAAAAAATTACAGTAGATAAGCTAAATGCTCTAAAGCAAAAGAAAGAAACAACCTAGTACTATATAGCACGCTTTAGAGAATAGCTAGCTATCTGCAGATAAATAGATTAAAAGGCACTATGCTAAATATTTTATAATAAGTTAAAAAATATAATTAAAAATAAATTTGTATATAATAAAAACCTAACTACTTCTAAAAATTTTATTATAAAAGCAACACTTTATAATAATAAGCATAAAGAATATAAAAGAGAAAAATAGTATAAAGAAGCTTTATAAAAACCTAAGTTAATTTTTTTTAAAAAAAGCCTTTTATTATAATAAAAAACTAATAGACCTTAGTTACATAAAACATATATAAAGCTTCTCTTTAAAAAAAGCTAAGCCTTTAGACATAATAAGCTACTTTTAACTAAAAAGTAATAAAAATAGCTTAAAAATAAGACCTACTTAAACTATAAAAAAGTAGAACATTTATGCTAAAATTACCTAAACTTTTATAAAGAGGAGAATAAAAATACTACTATAATAGTAAAAACTATTACTATAGAATACAGCCTTATAGATAAAAAATATTAGAAAGACTAAATAATAAACTTTACTAGTAATATATAAAAAACTATTTTTTAAAACCCTACTTTAAAGTGTATTAAAATGTAGTTATTAAAACCTTTAGTAGCCTTAATTAAGTGTTATAAGACATTATAATTCTTAAAAAATATATAAAAGAGACTTAGATTTAAAGATATATTATAGATAAAAAAAATAGTTTATTTTTAATAATAAAACTTTAAGCACTTTTTTTTAAAAGCTTTTTAGATAATTCTAGAGTTACTTATGCTAAAAGTGTAGATAATAACATAACTACTTAGGCAAATGTGTAGTATAACTTTATAAAATAAACATTAGTAATAACTATATAATATTTAACATAATAAAGTAGATAGCTAAAGTAAAATATAATATAGTAAAAAAAAAAAATAGTAATTTTTTACTAAAATTTATAACTAAAAATATAAAAGACTTAAAAAACCTACTAGGTTTAAAGTTCTAAAACTAAATTTAGAAAGACTAAAAACACCCCTTCTAGAGCTAGCAGTTAGTAGGAAAGCCCTTGTCTTACAGCAGAACTATAGATAGTGTCTTCTCTGTAGAAGCGCTTTCTATAGCACAGGCAAGTGCTAATAGAAGGAACACCCTGTACAGCTAGTACAAACCTGAGAATACCCTAGGTGGACACAGGAACGCCCACTAGACACCTTGTATAGACTAGAGGACTGTCTATATCCCTAGTACTAATGCACGCGACAGTACTGTACTAAGCATTAAGATAATAAGCACTAAGCAGAATAGTAGCTAACATAGAAAAAAAGCTTAATAAGTAACTTGTAAAAAAGTACTACTTTAATATGTAAAGTAATAGACTACTACACATGTTAAACTTTACTTATGTAAGAAAAGTTAAAAAACTAGCTTAAATGTAACTTTTAAAGTAGATATAGATTCTACTACTGCTAGTAAAAGGCAGCTTATAAGGAAGACTATATACTAACCTACTACTTTATAAAAGACTATAAATGTAAGGTAGCTAATTACTATATTAAAAAACATTAACTATATAAAATTAAAAAAATTAAAAAACTTAGTAATTTATAAAAAAATATTAACTTATACTTTATTAAGTGTAATAAAAGATTTTATAATATAAAAGCATTAGTAGCTATAAGCTAAAAATTAAGATAAAGCCTAATAACTACCTTTACATTTAAAAGATATACTAGATTAGCTTTTATTAATAGTAGATATACTTTTATAGTAATAGATGTAACTTAGATAAATAAATAAAGCATTTTCTTCTAAATTAAGAAAAGCTCTTTTAAAGTAACTTTTACTAACACATTTTTATTA